ACATCCCCAGGCTGGGCTTGACAGGGCAGACCCACCCTGAGGTAGAGGGCTCCACTCCCCACCCCGGCCAGGGCATGGTGCCAGGGCAGGGGGGGCTGTCCCCACCCTGTGGTGGGTACACAAGCTGCCCCGTGGGCTCTGGCCCAGCTTGTCCCCCATCCATCCCGACAGCTCCCCACAGGGTACAAGCCTGAGCCACCACTTCTGGCTCTCATCAGGGTGACAGTGTTGTGCAGCCGGCTCTTCGAGTCACCCAGTTGTCACCCAGTTGTCACCACATCTCACCCCTGCCAGCAGTTGCCATCACCAGCCATAATACGGGGTCGCCTTGCAGAACCGCAACCCCTTGGTGGCCGTGTACTACACCAATCGAGCCCTCTGCTACCTGAAGATGCAGCAGCACGACAAGGCGCTAGCTGACTGCAAGCGAGCCCTGGAGCTGGACGGGCAGTCGGTGAAGGCTCACTTCTTCCTGGGCCAGTGCCAGATGGAGATGGAGAACTACGACGAGGCCATTGCCAACCTGCAGAGAGGTGAGCGGGTACGGTGCCGGTGTTTCCCCTGCCCTGCCCATCCAACGGGAAAGGGCCAGGGATGGTGAGAGGGAAGCTGGTGCTGGCTCTGAGATGCCCTGTCTCTCCCCAGCCTACAACCTCGCCAAGGAACAACGGCTGAATTTTGGGGATGACATCCCCAGCGCGCTGCGCATCGCCAAGAAGAAACGCTGGAACAGCATCGAGGAGAAGCGGATCAACCAGGAGAACGAGCTGCACTCCTACCTGACCAAGCTGATCATGGCGGAGAAGGAGAGGTAACGTGGCACAGTGGCTCCTGTAAAGGCTTTTTTTAGTGCCACGAAGCCCTTGCAGCTCTGTGCACCTTCCTGGAGGTGCAGGCAGAGCCCTGCAGCTAGGGCGGCAGCAGCAAGGAGGGGAGCAATAGCGTCCCTCCATCGCTTCTGATCTCCCTGCTCTGTCCTAGGGAGCTGGCTGAGTGCCAAAAGACTCAGCGGGAAGAAAATGCAGATGAGAGCCGGAGCCGAGTTCAGCTGGCCAGCATCGAGGCCAAACACGTGAGCGGGGGGCCGGGGCTGCTCACAGAGGCTGGGAGACAAGCTGGGGCTTCCTCATCCCATCCTCATCCCCATGCTCTGCTGCAGCTGAGGAAGCCAGGAGACCCCGAGGCAGAGCGTGGCTCCTCAGCCTTCCTTTTGTGGCTTGAGCTGCTGTTGCAGGGCTTTCGTGTCCCCCTGTGACAGCTGTCCCTGCTCTGTCGCCTCTTCTCCCAGTGCAGGGCAGCTGCCCAGCAGGGGTGACACCTGTTTGCACTCACCCAGCTGCTGTACCTGCTGTTTTCCAAGGGCCGTGCAACGTGAACAGCTCTCTGCCACATGTGGGTCTGGGTGCTGGCCTGGCGCAGGGGACTAATCCCGAGATAAAAATAGCCCCACAAAGGAAGGTTATTTTTAAGCTGGATCACTCCTGCTCCGTGGTTCAGCCTGGAGCCGTGCGAGTGCTGGCTGGGGGC